TATATATATATATAATTTTTTTTTTTTGTGCAATTTTTAAAAAATTGCTTTCAGTACCTTTTGGAAGCTTCCTCAAACAAAGAAAATAAAGGTAACTGCAACTGTTCATATTAACGTTCTGGAGCTTTATTTCTCATAATTCGAATTTTTCTCAAACTCTCAGAATTGTATGTTCAAAACCTCACAGTTGAATGTTCTTGACACATAAGCATGTTTACGTTTCACAATTGTTTTTTCCTCGCAACGTAAACTCAAGAATCCTGAAGAAGAAACTCAGAATTGCGAGATATAAACTCAGAATTGAGAGATTAAAAAAATAATAATAATTTCATTATGTGTGAACTCAGAATTTTGATGGAGAATTAAACTGCGATGTAAATTCAGAATTTAGAGCAAAAAGGCAAATTTGCAACAACTCAGAATTTTGAGAAAACCGTAGAATGTTAAGTTTATAACTTGCAACTGCAAGATATAAACTTGCATTTCTAAGGAAAAAATTGTGAAAGTCACAATGACCTTTTAAATTTTTTTTTTTTCCCACAGGCGCTAACAAGCTTCGTTAAGAAGAGATTACACAACTATAATAATTCAAAACAGTCAATTACATACACAGCTTAAAGGGTTAGTTAGTTAACCCAAAAATGAAAATTCTGTCATTAGGGCCTTTCGCATCGCGGGAACCTTTTCATAGTACCAGAACTAATTGTGGAACTACCCACTTTTTGGCATTTTCGCACCGCCGGAACTGGGAGCGATTTTAGTACCGGACTGCCTTTTTCGAGAACCAAATTAGCTCCTACTCCAGAGCAGGGTCTAACCAGCACAACTGGTACTAATCGTGACGCAAGTAGACATTGATTGGCCAAACGCGTATGAAAACGCCCTCACCCGCCATGGTTTAAAACGCCGTGTAAACATACTGTAAACATTGTGTCAACTTATTTCGCAAGTATGGAGAACAGCGATAGATGGACGGATGCTGAAGTGCAGGCACTTGTAGCAAATGTAGCACTGGCAGTTGTCGTTGGAGATTCTTAGTCCGCCTTTCCGTTCTTTCAATCGCTTTACATATACGTCGACATTCCATGTCCA